TGAAAGATTCTGTTTGGAAAAAATTAGGGTCTTATGGGGCTAGGCTATTTTGTACCTGTTTCCCAATTCTACTCTTTTGCTTTCTTATACAGTGTGACAAGAGAAAGAGCATAGGATTTGAGTTCAGTAGATCTGGGTTCAGATCCTGGTTTTATCATTTAACAGCTGTGTGACATTAGAAACTGAATGTCTCTGTGACTCAGTTTCTTCATGGGTAAAATAGAAATAATACTTTACACCCTAACCCCATAATTCGGTGCCTGACAAATGAATTATGTCAGAAATCTTCCTGATACATGGTTGACATTTAATGACACATCTCCTTCATACAATTGTCATAGTGGTTACTCTTTGTGGGGAATCATCCATCAGAACTACTGCTTCCACCTTGCTTTATTTTCTTCCAGGTAACAGCTTAGTCCCACCATTATCAGCCTCTTCTCGATTAAATACCTGGCAGAATCTCTGATGGTCAAGTGTAGGTTTGTGCTATATACTCCTGACTTAGGTTAGATTTTGTTTTACTGTAGGCTCCAGAAAGTTTGAACTGCAGACTATGTTATTTCCCATTTTTGACTGGCCATCTTAATTCATTTGCCAGGCATTAAGGTTAAATGAGAATCTAAGGTGGGAACAGAGAAGTGTCAGGTTCTAGGATAGAATCCATTTGACATGGGTGTTATGTGCTCCATGACCATCAGGAACAATGATCAGGGCAGAGGCCAGAGAGGGAGATGTGGGTGTGAGAGCTTGCTGTGGCTGTGAGTGGGAGAGGATGGAGAGAAGTCACTAGAAATAACAGCCCGTCAATATTTGTCAGATTTTCATCTTTATTACCTGGTCTTGTTTGATCTTGTTTCAATTTTTCAACAACAAAGGAAGGCAGAATTTTCTCACAGGAAGGCAGAATTTTCTCACATCCAGGGCTGATGGAAGAGATATTAGCAAGAGATACCATCCAGATTAAATATGCCTTAAGAAGAACAGTGCGAATTTGTACAAAGGAGTCCAGAGGCTCCTGCCTTACAATGAATATCTGAAACCAAGGGCATTTTTTTCTCCCTTGGGGCAAGTGAAAATACAGGACCACATGGAAAACAAGCAAAATATGTTGAAAGGAAACTCCAGGATATAAAGTTGAGCTGTTGGTTTGGAAGGTGGTATTCTTTCTGTGCAAATGAGTTCTTTGTCCAAAAAGAACTGAACAGGGTACATTTGTGGGTTAATGATTTCATGATTAAAATTAAAATTAGAACTTTCTGTGTAGTGAGAAATTTATATTTTATAAGAACTTACAGGGCCACCAAACAATTTTAATAAACTGCTCATGTAAGGATATTCCTACAGGGAGAAGGCATGTCAGACCACAGACTCTTTAAGAACTCAAATGATAAGGTGTTCTGAGGCCAGAACTGGGAAAATGATTTTCAGCAGGCAAGTGGGGGAAACTATCTTCATAAAGGACATTAAAAAGTGGAAGTTCTCTAGGGATTTTCATGAAACTACTATTATAGCTATATCTTCATTTCCTCCCCAAATAGCCCACTTTGATAAAGTTCATCATTCAACAGGAATGTCAGTGAATGGATGGTTGTATATCTATTGAATGAAATGATGATCTGTTAAATTATATATCCATCAGCCTATGGTATTGTTTTCCTTCCCAAGATCTGGGATAGTAAAAGGTTTCAATTGCCTGATTTGATGGCTTCGTCTCTGCAGCACTAAGTGCTGGTGTCTGCTTTCAGCCTAGGCAGCTCCACTAGTGGCTGGAGCCACAAACATCCCTGATCCCACTGGTAGCGTCTTCTTAAATTGAGTGCATGTTTCCACAGAGACATGACCAGTTGTATTTTATAGTGTGATTAGAAATAAACCTAAGCATTGAGACTGAATATACAAACAATGGCCAGACCATATGTAAAAATAGAAATCTGACCCATAACCTGCAGCAACCTGCCCAAGAAACCAACCCCTTATCTTCAACAAACTCAGGAAACCAGCTTGTTCTAAGTCAGATTTGCAAGAAGCCAGATTATCTAGTGACAATCCAGGAAGCTACACAATAGCTCCTGTAACAAGTGGCCCTCAAATGGTAAAGAGTTGAATAAAAACCGACAGTTTCTTAATGTTTGTCCCTACTTCCAATTTAGGATCAACCAGAGAAAGTCAAATATGTATCTCTAACCAATCACATGGATACCCTGCTTCCAGTTAGCCAACTACGGCTTCACCATGCCAACAGCCTCTTATCAAGTCACATCTGAAGCCTTCCCTTCTTTTCAGTAAGGCTTTCTCACCCCTCTGCCTGCCTTTGAGTCTCTGCCAAAATACAAATGATGGTCACTGACTCCCCTGCTCTATAGCATATACTGAATAGTCTTTTGTTTTCTCATTTTGTTGGTCTTTATTATTACGAACCTGTGGTTTAAATAGGCTTTGTAGGCCAATTGGTTTCAAAGTCATTTATCATTCATTCACTGAAAAAACACTTACTGAAAGCTTTAATGTGGGTCATATTCTTTGCTAGGCACAGAGGCAAAAGAAAAGATATAGGCCTTACCACAAAGGATGGTAGCTTGACAACTAAGATGAACATGGAGAATGCAGCAACCAAGTCAATGGTTGTTAGTATGCTGGGGCAGTGTTTTCCAAAATGTGGTATACTAACTACTGCTTACATCAGATGACTTCCAGCAAGTTGTAAATGGCCGAACATTTTCACTTTAATACCTATAAACTTAAATGCAGATTAGAAAAAGAAGCATTTCAAGCCCATGAACCATGATTTCACACATGCTTTGGGATGAGTCTGTATCAGTTAAAATCTAGTGAGGAGATAAAAGCCACCCTTATTTCAACAGAGGAAATTAAATATAAAGACTTGTTAATTAGGTATTATTAAAGAACAAAAGAGCAAAAAGATTTAAGGTATCATGCAAGAAGATCACTCTTATGTAAGAGCTTCAAACTGTTCAATTTTTAAAGCTTGGAGAGACCACAAAGAACTGACACTCAAGACCTCTGATAAGGTTAATACCGGTGTCTGGGCTGAGTAGGGAGGTCTTATGAACCAGGGTACCGGGCAGACATCTGAGAAAGGAGCACTGAGTGGTATCAATGACTATTACTGAACACCAGCCTCTGCTGGGATGAAGTGTTTTGGGGGTGACAAAGCGGACAGAAAGGACCAGGCTCCTTCTTCCTCCTCTAGCCTTGCCATCTCTCTCTGGGCCTCTATTGGCCGATCCCAATAAGGAGCCAGTTTGCAAAGGAGAAATGGGGTTTTTGAGCCCCTGCCCTGCACCAAAAGCTGATACAGAAGGGAGAGTTTGAATCTGAGGAACAGGTTAGTATCTGCTACAGTCCGTCTCCTTGGGCCATTCAGCATTGACATGTGCACACTTCTAAACATGATTAAACTTCCCACAAGAAAAGCAACTATTTCTACTTGACAAATTGCAAACATCCTTTGTACAAAAAATTTTCTTACCCTTTCTCCAAAATGAGACCAAGTCCTAGTTTCTCCCAGTATCAGTTTCTGGAAGACAGTTACACTATCATTTCATCTCCTGACTATGTTACTTATACTTCCTAGAATTTAGTCACAGACCCATCTGAATATTCTGTCATATCAAGACTAAATAGCAAAGTCAACTCTCTAAATCCTATATACAATAAGAGGAATGAGAAATTAGTACAAATACACCAAGAAAGAAAATATGCATAACTGGTCAGTAACTTGTTTTTGTACTTGGTCACAAGGCTGTAGTTAATAAACTTCATTCTTCCTCTCCATATTCCTTCCATGTTTTCTCTTCCCTTGGCCAGGATCTTCAGATATTCCACCTTATACCTTGTACAGTGACCCAAAACTTCATTGCCTAAAAGGTCTAAATCATTCCTGCCTCTTCGAGGGGGCTGTAGCTTTCTATTAAAGTTTGTTACTGGACATGGAAATGCTAAAAGATGTCCGTGGGTCCCACTTATAATTCTCCATCACCCATTGTGTAGGAACAGCGCAAATGCCCTTTTGTTCTCAAGATCACATGCATTGGCCAGGAGGGTAAATCCCTTTGCATGTTGGTTTAGTGGTAAAATGACCAGATTGTTTCAATTTCTGTCTTAATGAAACCAATGTTCCCTGGTGGGAGCATTCCTCCCTTAGAAACCCAGACCTCCAAACAGAACTCAAAACTGAAGGATAGAAAGCAAAACATCTGGGAGTGGGTTATTGGGTTTAACAGTGAAAGGAGCTACTCTCTCTATCTCTGCTTGATTCCGGACCATACATTCTGACTACGATGAGAGCAATAGCCCCATTGAGTGGTCACTGATGCAAAACATACATTACATTTTCTAAGATGGAATGCTGTATTCTACTTAGGGCCATAGCTGAGTCTTAAGTAGACCATTCCACCATTCTATTATGTCCGCCACTGCTGTATGATGGGCTATGGGCTAAGGCCAGTGAATTCCAGAGGCACAAACCCATTGCCACATTTCTTTTACTATAAAATACGTTTGTCTATTATCCTTAATACTGTACAGACCATGAGGGTGAATAAGACAGTCCATAAATTCATGGATTGTTGTGCTGGAAAAGCACTGGGAAGGTCTTGTAGGTTTTGCCCCAGGATGTATAGAGTTGGAAGGTGTGTTGCTCTCACCTTCACAACGAAAAAGAGCCAGATTAACTTCAAATTCATGACTTTTTTCATAACTCACTGGAGAACTGAGGTCCCAGGGCAATCAAAATCTGAGGAGATACAGAGAGAGAGGAGATGCATACCTCATTTAGCTGCTAGAAACAAAGTGAAATGAAATCAGTATTTCTTAGAAGTCCTAGGTATGCATCTCTAGACAGATATACACACATACATACATATCACCATATTCTAAAGTGGTTGGTTTTTTAAAGTTACTAATTGGATAAAAGTTCCTAGACTGAATTAGACTAAAATTATTATTTGAAAATATAAGAGAATAGAAAAAGTATGTGAAAACAGAATAATTATTATTTTTTTATTAAAGACTTTAAATAAAAAAAAATCATAATTCCACAAATTGACAATGACTTGTTAATATGCAAGTACTTCAAGCTGGACGTGTTTGTTCTTGATGAATTTAAATACAATAAATTCTCATAACATTTGATTCCAAAAATGTATGTGTGAATTGGCTTGACGTGATTAATAGTATCAAGTAAAATGTAAACATAAAAACAATTTAAACACTGGTATTAATTTATCAGTCAAATCAAGGTCAGTGACTGGAAAAAACCCGAGGCCAAAAATCTTTAGGAAGCAACCATGTACCTATGTACATCTGAAGATCAAAGCTAAAAATCCACTCTTGATGAATACCACTAAGCAAAGGATGTATAACATCCATCATACACCTGTTTTAAAAACAGCCTGTTTACAAAATTATACATTTCTTTACAAGTGAACATTACAATATCAGAAACCATTGGAATGAGTTTCGAAAAATGTTAACTCTCACAAGGCATCCCTGAGCCATATCTTAAGGCATCCATTTTAATCTTGGGGCTTTAAGAATGTCTTCTTTGCTTTATTTGGTTTTATGTCTCCATTTTCATCCTCTTCATAATTGGCGCGGTCTCTTTTTTTGGCAAACTTTTTTCCAATTGTCCCCACCAAGGTTTCGTATCTGTTAAGATGATATATAGCACAAGTTTCATTTCAAATAAAAAAGGTAAGAATCAAATCTTGTCAAGAATATCAAACCAAATATGCAACAAAGAAAAAAAATAAAAATTATGATTAAAATAAACCGTCTGATTTAAAAACTTACAAGCTTCTCTAAGAATGATTAAACTTTCTACTGATTTTAGTTTTTGTATTATCTAAGTAAATTGAGATGTATATTTAAAATATGTATTAGAAGCAGCACTGGAAATGAGCCCTCAACTGACAGCCTGTGACAGGTATGAATCTAACGCAGGCCATGTCAGAAAAATCAGAAACAGTCATGTTCCTGTTGGGGTAGAGACTGGGGGGAAAGAGGAGTGCACATTTGAGAGCCAATGTATACGGGGCCCAGATTACAAAGCTGTTCCAAGGTAACGGTTACCTTCTAGCCATTTCTTCATCTGACACATCGAGCTCCACTGTTTCATCTTCAACTTCTTCTGCTTTGTTCTTAGCATTCATCTGAAGCATTAATTTCTAAAAAATACACCAACACTGGCTATCAGGGCTGGAAAAGGCTTGTGAAAGGACCTGGTGTCAAATGTATTTGAAGGTAGAAAAACAGAAGTCACAGAATCTACAGGACTAGCCAAAATTTATAAAGGATTCTCTGTAATACTTAATATGCTAACACAAGTCAGCTCTGAATTAAAAAAATAGTAAGACAAAGCCCCTCTAGATGAGACTTGCTGTTAATGAATTTAAATTGTATTTTAGATCATAAACCTTATTATTATTTACTTATATCTGAAGCAGGCACACTACTAATACACTCTAGTGAGTAGGGGAAAGAAAAAGTAAACTTTTAGATTTTCTCTGAACTTCTCATCTTTGAGCCAAATATAGTAAGTACTATAGTCAAGAGTAATCTTAAATGCATTTTTTTGGTGGTGGTGGTGCTGGGGGTAGCACATTACTGGATGGAAGAACTGGAAGGCTGGCCCTGGTATAACGGGGAGGACCTGCCTCACCCCCAAACATGAGGGTGGATAATGTATCCCATATGATGTCCATGTTCTACGGGTCTCTCATCTATCTCTTTTGCTCACATTAACCTTTTCTTCATAGTTACCCTCTGAGAGATTTAAAAAAAAAATGTTTCTTTATAGCAAAGGCAGAATGAGGAGGGGAAAGCAGACCAGAAGCCAGTCACAACTAGCTTTTCCAACATTTAAAAGACTGAAAATAAAATAATTTTTGAAATACAAGCTCTGTGAAGGCATACACTAGGGTGGGAACTGCATTTCCAATGCCTTGAGAGGGCCGATGCATCACAGGCACAGAGTATTTACTGAATAAATAAACTCTATTTAGGTGTCTCTAGAAACACACACAATATTGAACAGGTTTTAAATATATCCTGTTTATAATAAAGTGCTCTCAAGTTGGTATCATTTTTTTCATAACCAGGTACATTGAACTTTTCTGATATTTTCTGACAGCTCAGATCTGTAAGCTAAACAATTCAAAACTTTTCCCCAGAGAGAAAGTACTGTGGTACAGAGTGCTAGTAATTAAAGCCATTTTCCAATGACCTCTCACATGAAATTCTGAGGGCTGTATCAACTCCTATTCTCATGTACCAGCCATATTTTAGAGTGCCTGTCTACCCACGGCCCCAGTCTTTGGCCATCACATACTCATAATCTTTGCTTTTTTTCCCTTTTGCCTCACTGCTCTCTTTCTCTTCCCAATCTAAAGCTTTAAGCAGGTCAAAACAAGGAAAGCATATATTAAAAACAAACACTTCTAGTGTTGATTTTGTATAAAGTAAATTTAACAGTTTAACTATCATACCCCCTCAAAAAAGAGGGGCAGGGAAGAAAACCAACCTATAATCTTTAAGTAAACTGGCAATTAGCTTGGTTATCTGTGCTTCTCTATAGGCATCCTTAGAGAAGTGTTTTTCAACCAGGGAGATTCTGCTCACCATGGGACCTGTGGCAGTATCTAGAGACAGCGTTGGTTGTCACAACTGATTATGTGTGTGTGTGTGTGTGTGTGTATGCATGTATGTGCCTGCATGTACACTATAGGTATCTAGCAGGCAGAGAATAGGGGCCAGGGATGCTGCTAAAAATGATCTGGCTCCATATGTCAATGGTGCCAGGGCTGAGAAACCCTGGCTTCAAGTGTTAGTTATAAAACTAAAGCTTTATATCACAAACCTCCATTTGGTTGGTCAAGTACCTGACAGGATGCCTTTTAATAAACAGCCAGAGTTCTAATATTTGTTAAACGAAGGTCTCTGCTTCTTTACAAGCTTGAGGCAGGAAAATTCAAATGAACAGCTTAGTTATAAGGTGAATGTTTACTTTTCAAACAACCTTCCCAAAGGATTCATTTAAAAATCTATTTACAAGCTTGGATTGAAACCTGTCCATTAAAAAGTCAAATGACTCAATTTTTAAGTAATATTTCTTCCATTAGAAAAGATACATTTATAGATGCCAGAAAATAACTTTTCATTATAGCATCACATAAATAAAATCTTGACATTCCTGTGAAAGACCTGAGCGGAAATTCTAACATTTACACTGGCACTGTCAGGGACTTACACTGCTTTATTAAATTATCTACTCAATTCTACCATAAACTAGACTGCAAGGCCTGCAATTTCTTTAAATAGCTATGGCAATATTTCAAGACATTATTTTCTATATAATGAGGAAAAATGATACCTGGTGAAGAAAAACCTAACCCCAATTATTAGCAAAAATAATTCAATTGTAAAATTTTAACATTTGAAGCAATTATATTTAATACCTCAACTTCAGGATTAAATCCTCTGAACGACATTCTACCATAAAGAAGATCTTCACATAATAAGAAACTCTGCTCTTCTATTATGAAACTCCTAAATGGGAAAATAAACCTTTATTAATAGCATGTCTACTTATAACAAAGCACAGCAAATATGTCAAGATTTCAATGAAAAATCAATCATTTGGTTCTCAGAATCAAGTAAAAATACAGTAAGATTTCTAACGTAGGGTTAGAAATAAAAACTGATTAATTTGGCCAGCAAAGGCATTAGGAGACGAGAGCTGCAGTTTGGATGCACAGCCTCTTCTAAATACTACATTTAATTTGTATAAATGCCCACACGATGTAAGGACCTACAGTATTTATAATAAACCTGAATTTTTCCAAACTTGAAGGAAAGTTTCCTTGATGTTTACATGCCCCATCAAGTTCTTATTAAGTTCTTATTAAATATCCAGAAATCAAAGTCCTGAGCAGCTTTAAGAGAGTTTATTAGTTGGAACTCTTGCCTATAAACAATGACGGACCCTGGATGACTTAAGCAGAGAAGGAATTTATTGTAGGGCTACCGATTGGGTATCTCACAGAATCACTGGGAAAGGTGGATGAATAGAACTGGAAAATGGGCAGAAATAAGCGTGGCTAGGTGGTTGATCCAAAACCAAAATCATGCTATGAAACTACCCTAGTAAAAATAATGCTGCTTTTGCTGAGAAAGCTAAATATTGGACACCAAAGAGGGCATTGGGCAGGCCACTGTTACCCCAGAAACAAGATGCAGGTGTGGATATTTCAGTCTCCAAAGGGATTCTCCTCTGAGTTACCAGTTCATGACCCTGGTCTCAAGTGAGCATATCTGACCATAGTCTAGCTATCTATCAAAAAGCATGCTAGGAAAGCAAATACTTGGCCTTTATAGCTTCTTTGGTAGAAAGAAGACCCTGCTTCTTGTCAAGACTCACTTATTCTTTCACTCACTCAGGAAACACTTGTTAAATTGAACTGTATACCAGGCAGTTCTAGAAGCTAGAGAGACATGAATAAGAGAGCCTCTGCTTTCATGGGGGTTACATTCTAGAGGGCGGTGCCAGATAAAAAACAGATTTATAACATACGATGGATAAAAAGAAAGCAGGCTGTTTTACTCCTGGCCATAAGGTAGTAACTGGTACCAAACTAGCCCTCCTAGGGTAACCAACTATAAAACAGGACAAAATAAGAAACAATGAACAAGTCAAAGCATAGGACTATGATGCCTGACAGAGGAAAACCAAATGAAGTGAATCCCATGAATTCCTACCTTCTGACTAGAGGCAATCTGTAGACTGTGAAGCAGGGAGCAAGAGCTCAAACAGAGCCTAGTTTTACTGACCTGAAGAGACAAATTGAAATTTAGGGCTACGGAGGTGCTAAAATATATGGGTAAAGATATCAGAGCAAGGGAGATACCTAAAGGAATTCTGGGGCCTACATATTGAGTCCCCTTGACTCTTTGGCTGAATACTAGGCTGTGCATGTGCTGGGCAAGTCCACGGTGTCAAGGGAAAAATAATTATTTCCAGGAGGAGAACAATTATCTGGTGCATTAATTTCCTCGGACTGTTGTAACAAATTAACACAAAATTGGTGGATTAAAGAAATAGAAATGTATGCTCTTATAATTCTGGAAGTCTGAAAGTGGTTTCACTGTTGGCAGGGCTGCGCTCCCTCTAGAGCGGCAGTCCTCAAACTTTTTGGCACCAGGGACCGGTGCTCCTATGAGAATCTAATGTCTGATGATCTGAGGTGGAGCTGAGGCAGTGATGCTAGTGTTGGGGAGTGGCTGTAAATACAGATGAAATTTTGCCTGCTTGCCTGCTGCTCACCTACTGTGCAGCCCGGCAGGCCATGGGCCAGTACCAGTCTGCAGCCCGGGGGTTAGGGACCTCTGCTCTAGAGGCTCTAGGAGAAAGTTCATTCCTTGCCTCTCCAGCATCTGCTGACAGCCATCATTCCTTGGCTTATGATTACATCACTCCAGTCTGCCTCCATGGTCATGGAAATCTCTCTCTGCCTCCCTTTTGGTTACAAGTTAATTTTGGCATTTAAGGTAACATAGAATCCAGGGACAAAGGCTTGGATATTATTTGGGTACCATTTTCCAGTTCACCACACCTGAGAAGGAAAATTTACCCTGGCATTATATGTTGAACAAATAGGAGACCTTGCACAGAGGAGGGAAATGTTTGACTTGTGTCTGCTTAGAGTGGAGAGACCAAGCTGAACATCCTGTAACATTGAACAGAAAGGCCACACCTTAAGAGTAGGGATCAAGCTGATCAGCATGTAAATTAACTGCCTAATGGCACAAATTTCAACACTTTATTAAGGAAGATAACAAAATCCAGTTACTTTGCAATATAACATAATGTAGAGCACACAATTAAAAATTACTAGACATATAAGGAAGCAGAAAATGTGACCCATTAACGGGGGTGGGGGGGGAGGGAACACAAGTCAATAGAAAAAGAATTAATAGGAAAAACTTTAAAACAGTTATTATAAATATGTTCAAGATTTTTAAGGACAATACAAATGTAAGGAAGACACAAATAGAAAACCTGAATTCAAAAATAGAAACTGTGAAAAATTACCAAACAGAAAAAAACAATAGCTCAATTGAAAAATCAGAATAGTTCTAGATCTATTAGAGAAAATGAATTCATTATTAAAAAATATTCACACAGAGAAAACTCCAAATCCAGATGGCTTCACTGGTAAATTATATTCAACATTTAAGGAAAAAATAATACCAATTTTACACAAATTAAGAAATGAGAAGAGGAGGGGGGAACACTTCCCAACTCATGCTATTGCCCAAAATAAAGGTATTATAGTAAGTCTACAGTCCGATACCCTCTATGAATACTGATGCAAAAATCACTACTAAAATATTAGTAAATTAAAATAAATATATATTACAAATAAATACCAAGTGAGGTTTGTCTCAGAAATGTAAGGTTGTTTTGATATTCAAAAATTAATAATTCCAACATTAATAGAGGAAAAAAGAAAAATCATATGATTATCTCATTGAAAATGATTTCGCAAAATTTGACATTCTTTATGAAAATCCTCAAGAAGCTGGAAAGAGAAAGGAAAATCTCTCATGCTGGTAAACAAGTGAATGCTTTCCCCCTCAGATCAGAAAAAATGCAAGGATGCCCATTCTTATCACTGCACTGGAGATCCAAGACAATGAAATAAAGAAAGAAAATACAATAAAAGGTGCAAATTTCTTTTTTGTAGGTGACATAATTGTATATGTAGATAATCTTAAGGAATCTTAAAAAAAATTACGAGTTAGTGAGTCAATTTAGCGCAGTTACAAAATACCAAGTCAACATATAATTATCAATTGCTACATACATAAGAACAACAATTTTGGGAAAAAAGGCCACAATAGGACTTAAAAATGTGAAATATGTAAATATATATTTAATGGTATATATACACAGAATCTCTACACCAAAAACTATAAACAACTGCTGAGAGAAATTAAATAATAGCTAAATAAATGGATATACCATGTTTATGGACTGGAAGATATAATTTTGTTAAGATATCAGTTCTCTCCAAAATGATCTATAGATTCAGGGCAATGTCAATCAAAGGCCTACTTTTGAGGGTGTAAGAAGATAGTGGGGAGAAATTAACAATCTGGTTCTAATATTCATATAGGAAAGCAAAGGACATAGGCTAGTAAAAAGATCTTGAAAAAGAAGTGGAAAACTTACACAATCTGATTTCAAGACTCATTGCAATCCATAGTAATCAAGCCAATAAGACAGAAAAATATATCAATGCAACAGAATAAAGTCCAGAATTAGATCCATACTAACATAGCATATTGATTTTTGACCACAGCATCAAAGCGATGCAATGAATAAAGAAAAATATTTTCAATAAATGGTACTCGGACCACTGGTTATCTAAAGGAGAAAAATGAACCTCGATTCCTACCTCACATCATACACAAAAAATTAGAGACAGATCATAGATAAAAATCTAAAAGCTAACATTATAAAAATTCTACAAGAAAACACAGAATATATTTGCAACCTTGGTACAGGCAAAGATTCACTAAACAACATCCAGAAAGAAGTATAAAAGGAAAAAATTTAATGAAACAAAATAAAAACTGCTCATCAAAAGAAAACAGAAAGTAAATAGGCAAGGTACAGACTAGGAAAAATATTCACAATACATATATCTCGTAAAGAATTTATATTCAGAATCTTTGTGTAGAAGTATGTAAGTTCTACCTTAAAACGAAAAAAAAAAAAACCCTATATAAACACTGAACTCTAGTTAAGGGATAAAATGTACTGATGTCTATTACTGTGAAATACATCAAAATAAAATAGATCGACAGATGTATAGAGTGGAAAAATATGTGATACCAAATGTTAGAAAAAAATGACAAAACTACTTCATTTTTTAAAATGGATGAAAGATTTGAATACGCTCTTCACAAAGGTAGATATGGAAATGGCCAATAAGCACATATGCGTCCTTAAACATTATTAGCCACCAGGAAACGCAAATTAAAAACCATGAGATACCACTAGAATGCTAAAATAGGTTAAAAAAAAAAAAAAAAGATAACAGCAAATATTGAAAGAGCGTAGAACAACCAGAACTCTTATACTTCCTTAAAGAAAATATAAAATAGTATAATCACTTTGGGAACTGGTCTGAAAGCTTCTCATATGCCAACCTCTCAATTCAGCAATTCCACCTTTAAACAAGAGACATGAAAACAGAATTCTGTCCAACTCATCCAAATTCTTTTAATCTAAAGAATCTGTCTTTGGTTGCTTTATGAAATGTGGTCTTGGCAGGCCTCTTGGATGGGGTGACATTTGAGCAGTCTAGAAGACAGTGAGGAACAATATATGACCATACGTAAGGAAAGAACACCTGAGGGACTAGTTAAAAGGTCCTGAGAGAATGTAAGTAGCCTGCCTGACAAACAGTAAGGAGGCCTCCATGACTAGAAAGGAGTGAGAAGGTAAAAATGATAGGAGCTCAAAGTTACTTTCATGATAACACTAAGACACTGTTTTTTTCACTACATTGACATTTGCCCAGTGGGTAATTACGGGTACAATCATATCTTACTATGAATTAAAGTAGTGATACAGACTGTACTAGCAGTCATTGCATTGTTCATTGCTGGCTTTCACAGTTTAAAAAAAAAAGCCAATAACTATGTGCTTGCTGAAGTAGTAAAAACTTATTGTTATTAATCTCAGCCCTTGATTACACTTTATAAAAATATTCTTTACACAAAATGGGAAGCATATATAAGGTACTTCTGATAATTGAAGTATGATGACTGTCTTAAGAAAATGCACTTATGTGATTGAGTTATGAGTTGAACTAGCTACTTTTTTTCTTGGTACACTATACTTATGCTTATTCAGACTTGGGTATTTGACATTTTCTTGAAAATGAATAAAGTAAACTTGTCACCTAAAAGGAAATAAATGACAACACTTGTTGCTAATAACAAAATTCAAGCTTTCAAGCAAAAACTAGAATTCTGAATAGCTTGTATATGTCATTTTGGGCTTGACGGCTTCCCAATACTTAAAGACTTTTCTGATGAAATCCATGGTGATATTAATAAATGTGATTTTTGATAATGTACAATGATATGAGTTATTTGGAAAATCTATATACCTCATTAAACTAATATATCCCAAATGAGAAATACATGATGTTATGAAATTACACATGGACAAAAGATCTATTCAAAATGTAAGATGGACCCATGATTATAAAAGTTCGATAATGTTTTCAGATTCTGCACTGTAGTCAACTCTTAAGAAACTACTATTTATTGAGTTTTGGAGTAGCATCAAAGAAGAATTATCTGAAAAAGCTATTACGACACCCTCCCTTTTCATCTACATCATCTGTGTGAAGGTGGACTTTCCTCACAGACTTCAACCAAAACATACTAAAATAGGCTGAATGCAGGAGTTAAAAGAATGCAGCTGTCTCTATGCCAGACATTAAAGAGATCTGCAAAAATGTAATTTTCTCTCGCTGGTATTTTTTTTGTCTTGTTAAAGTTATTTTTCACACAAAATTTGTTATTACGCTAACATGTAATGAGTTTCTTAAATATTTAAAAAAACTCTGCTTAAATTTCTTATATAAGTATTGACGTGCTATAAACTACACAAAGCAGCACTTTTTGTGGATTACAAATAATTTTTTAGGGATGTAAACTGTCCTTGAGCCTGAAACTTTGAGAATCACTGTTCTGTAGATTCTTCTCTCCCTGGCCTTCTAGTACAGCCAGCACCTCACTTCCTGCAGGACTGCCTCTCCTTGACACAATCTAAATCCAGGCATATATTCTCCTGATCTTGAACTTCCAGACTCTAAAACTGTGAGAAATAAATTTCTGTTGTGAATAAGCTACCCACTCTGTGGTTATTTTTATAGTAGCCCAAATGAACTGAGACATTTACCTCCTAGGAAAAAAATCTAAAGATCATTTTTCTGGGAATAACATGCTGTATTGGGGTGGAGGTGGGGGTAAATATACTGAAAAGACAGAAATCAATAAAAGTAATAAAATATCTGGGATACTTTCTGCAAGTTTAGTCAAGGCATAAAATTATAGCTCATCACCAGTCATGGTCCCTTTCTACACCCTCCTGCTCCTAAATCCATACTATCTCTGACATTATCTTCCCTTCCTCATAACATCTTCCTTTGAGAAGCTGTAAATTTTCTTAAGTACACAGAGAAGCAAGCAGAGAAAATAAAGTACCTTTCTTTCCATCCCTCCTGATGGGACATACTTCCTATCTTTAGAGAAGGATATCTAACTTTCCAAAAAAGATCCAGAGGTCAGCCAAATGAACAAGGGAATATAACATGTTAAAAACAAAAAAGAATGTATAAAGTAAAGAAAGACATAAATGCGCCTGAAGATAACAAGCAGCACCTTCAGTCATTTGACAAAGTTTAAGTAAAACCACCACACCACAGAGCTTACTAAGGTAAGGAAAGCTTCAAGGAGAAATAATAGGTATCTTTCAGAAGAATGTAGATAAATTAATGAATGATATTGAGACGGGACATCACTTGTAAATTCTTAATCTTTTAGCAGGAAATGAAATGGGACATCTCTTGCAAAGTTAATCTTTTCCTTAAACCTAGTTTTCTTTCCTCCTTTCTTTGTAAAAAGGCTCCCTCCCTCAAATCCTAATAATTGCCCTGGCGACTCAGATCCTCTGGCTATTGATAAGGGTCATCGGCCTATGGTTAAGCAGAAATAGCGTTAAACCAGGTAGGGCCCTTAGAGTCTGAGGAGGGGAAAGAATTTTAAGCCAAAGGTCTTTCTTTTTACTCTTTAAGAAATATATTAACCAAGCCTGTTTCCCTTTACTCACTTAATAGGCAAATCAATAATAGAAATTAATAGATGTATGATTTAAATAACGAGTTTGTATCTTTTTTTCCTTGTCGGCACTTCAGCTGGAAACCCAAGACCCCACCCTGACTGAGACAGAAAGGAAAAGAGCTCCATGAAACCCCTGTAGGCAGGGACTATGGCCCTTCTCAGTAGGAAGCAGATATGGAAGAGACCTCCTTTCCCTCAACATCCATACTAATAATAAGGGGTTCATGGCTCTTAGAAAAGAGGTAGGCAGGAAAGTTAGTTAGAGAGTTTCGGGTCCCCAGTTATTCCCAGAGAGATGTAGGCTACATTCCTTTATTCAATGTAAAAAAAAAAAAAAAAAGAAGTGTTATAAATGATGATCGAGGGCTAGTAAAAATGTATAAATCCAAGTAGACCTCTCATTTGCAAGGCTAACTCCAGAAACAGAATAGATGCTATTTCATAGGCTTTATGTCATTGGAATGGTAAATCACATTTACAGGGATTTCTCTCTCAATGCCCAACGTGTCATCAAAATAATTTTTAATAACCTACTCTTTCTCTTTAAGCTCTGGCAAATCCAAGTACCAGTGCTCTTCACTAATGATTTTCTTTTCTTCTTCTTCTAGTTGTTTCTTGGTTTCCGAGTCCAGGCCCCTTTGCATAAACTGTCAAAACAAAACAAAATCAGTGTCAGCAACGAATTTTTCTAACTTAGAGAGAACTCAAATAACTTTATTCTTCCACTTGCTCTTCCTTATTTCTCCTGGAATCCCCATGATTGAGGGTGGGGGTAGGGTGATCAAGCAGCTTAGCTCTGCCTTTGACAAGGTCACACTAGGCTAGCAGGGAGCCCGACAGAGCATCAACAAAAGCAGCATGTGTACTTCCTTTAGGAGACTTCAAAAAGATCTTTACCATATTTTATTTTTCTGACGTAATAAAACAGGCACCAAAAAACTATATTCGATAAGTATCACACTAATACTAAATATGTGATACATAATGGCCAATGAGGGAGGACTAAGGCAAAAGACTGATTCACAGATCAGGACAGGCAGGTAGAGACAGAGCAAGAGGGGCAGAAGAGGACGAAAGACATTATCTCTAGCTTGGTGAATCTCTTGCTGAACCACAGAATACACTGATGTTTGTACCTGCCGACCTTGGTCTGGAATGCCCTTTTCATCCTCTTGCACCTGGCTAACTCCTAGCCCTACCGCACAGGTAAAGCTACTCCGCCTCTGTGAAATTGTCCTGGTCAGCTGCAGGCAAAATCAGCATCTTTCTCCTAGAAGCTTCCCACAGAAACCTAAACAATCTCACCTCACCACCTTTTAATTTCTGGAGACCTTCAGGGCAGGGACTGTGCCTGAATTGTCTTTATCAGTATCAGAATAATGAAAGGTTTGTAGTAAGGGCTCTATAAATGTAGACTGAAGCAAAGCTACATCTGCAAACCTGCTCTTCATTTATATCTATCCTCTGAAATGCTGGTCAACTCTATGGCTGCTCTTTATTCTAATATTTGCAGCTCACCTCAAAATAGGCCAATAGAGAAAACAAGTTTTGCTGCTAGTCTCTCCCTAGAATAAACAATAGTTCAATTTCCAGAAGACAGGAGAACAAACCAAGAAGCTAATCACAGAAAAGTCATAAAGTATCAATACAGGAGAAAATAAATTTAGAAAACACTGATAAGTTAGGTCTAGGATTCCACTGGTTTCCATTTATCACCATTTCTTTCCCTTATCCAGCCTCCATATTATTTTTCTCTCCATTCTAGCCCTTCCAAAAACACAATTATTTTTAGGCATAAGGGCTTTACCAATGACTACTAAATGAAATGAAAAAAATTGAAAAATGTTCACAAATAAAATACAGGGATAACATCAAGTTGTGATGAGGATGTGGGGAAGCTGGGTCTCCTCCATGGAGAACAGCTTGACAGTTTCTTACCCAACTAAACATGACTTACCATATAACCCAGCATTTGTCCTCTGGGGTACTTATCCCAGAGAAATGAAAATTTATGTTCACTCAGAGACTTATACACGAATATTCATAACAGCTATATTTGTAGTAGCTAAAAACTGGAAACCAAAATACTTGTCAACAGGTGAACAGTTAAAATAAACCATGGTACATCCACAGCATGAAATACTAGTCAGCAATGAAAAGGAAGGAATTATTCATATACTCAACAACTTAGATGGATCCCAAGTGAATTATGCTGAGTGAAAAAAGCCAGTCTCGAAAGTTTTATATTGTATGATTCTATTTATATAACATCCCTGAAATAACAAAATTATAAAAATGGAGAACAGATTAGTGGTTGCCAGGGGTCAGGGATGACAAAAGACAATGGATGTGACTACAAAGGGGTAGCTCGAGGGAAACTAGTGGTGATGGAAGTTTTGTATCTTGAATGTGTGGTAGTTAGATGAATCTATATACAATAAAGTGTATGGAAGTATCACACTCACAAACACACACATGAAGGAGTGTATGCAAAATGGTGAAATAAGCTCTGTGGATTACATCACTATCACCTTCCTGGCTCTGCACTGTTAGCCTGTCCTTATTCTTTTACCTCTGTTATTTATATCTTTATCACAGGAAAGAACTGGCAGTTTATGGAAAGCATACCCCATGCTTCCCAGTTCTTCTGTGTCTGCTACTCAACATTATGCTTCCATTTTCTGCCTGTCAAAATATTAATTCGTGAAGGCCCAGAGCACATGTTCTTTGGTAGTCTTTCTTGCTTCTACAACAGCTTTATAAACACTGGCTTATTGTTCATTATGCTTCTTCTGTGTCTCCCAAAAGACTGAGATTCTGAATGTAGACCACGTCTCTTATTCTTCTTGTATTACTGGTACTTAGGCTGCACCTAACACACAGAAAAGAGTTCATTACAGGTTCTCTGAATATAACTGATTCTAGACTTGTCTTATTTTTTCCAGATTTCATTTCTTGGATGGTTCTTTTAAACCCAGATGTCTTATTTCATCGCTCATATTCTTAGTGGCAAAACTCACCAATCTTGCCAACTGACCTTTTATCTCCTATTTTTAAATCAAGTAGAAATTCTTTGTGGTATACAAAATAGCCACATACATATGTACGGAAATACACACACACATTTCTATATACATGGAAAGGATAGAACACCTGTGAATATGAAGCAATTCCTGACTTAGGTAACAATTCAATTCTTCTGACTCCATAGCATCTAAGAACACACTCTAAAACTAGTGATTTAATTTTACTCACAAGTGAGGGCTTATAGCAGGTATCACAAAATGCAGTCCTTAGACTGGACTTCTGTTGTAAATAAAGTTTTATTGGAACAAAGCTACACTCATTTGGTTCTGAGGCACAGTGACAGAGTTGAGTAGTTGCAACAGAGACTGGCCCACAAGCCTCAAGTATTTATCTGTCTTTTTTCAGAAAAAGTTCAACTCCTGTCTTAAGAGTCCAAAAGAGCTAAAATCATAGATACAGCAACCTCTGGTAGCTGCACCATTCCTTCTCACAAAAAATTCCACTCTATCTGTATAGTGTCGCCTGCTTTTCTTTCAATAAGTTCATTTTTATCAAATGACCAAAGATGTTAACCCAAATAGAAAACCTGGGTATTTTTTCTCTCTCCTTTGCTTCCGATGTGTAATTGAGTCTCAACCACTTGTATAGGGGGTGAATAATTATTTTTAAGTTAATATCTTCATCCCTAACTCGGAAGTTACATCTTTGGTCTAAGCCCTAATTGCCCAGCACATATGACTTATTCCAAGAGCAAAACTGCTCAAATCTTTTCATTGTCTGCTTTATCAATCCGTTCCATTTGAAATCTTTGAAATCTACATGATTACAAACCATAAGTCAAGAGAAAACTGTTAAGAACTGTTAAGATTTGAATTTTGTTAAATATGCATGAAAGAACTTTGGAAACCATAAATTATACTATGATTTACCCTCCACCCTCAATCACCCTATACATCCCTAGTTACATCCCAGCTCAACTCCATTCAAATTTTGCATACAGTACTTCCTCTCTAATCTTTTGAAACATTATGCCATGCTTCCTCTTCCTGGAAATTCTACAACTCTCTAATAATGACATCTAAGAGTTTACATCTATAAATGTTCAACAACCAGTAGTAATTAAGAACAAGGGGCTCTGGAATCAGACCGTCTGAGTTTCAGTCTTGTCTACACTACTACTATTAACAGTAAGTGACTTTGGGCAAGTTATTTGCTTTTGTTTCCATTGTCTTTCCTGTTAGAGAAGGATAATAACTGTACTCCCGTCCAAGGGTTATTTTGTGGATTTCTTGGGTTGATATAAATAAAGCACTTAGAATAGTGTCTGGCACATTGCAAGAGCTATAAATGTTTGCTATTATTATTTAAGTTTTAACGATTGGTTGTTTCCCCTACTTTAATTCCTGTATTCATTTAGCTACCTGTTTCCCCCATCCATTTTGATATTATTTGGTTAAATTGATTCAATTTGAAATATAAAAATCATTTTGCTTAAAGTTGAGTGACATAACTCACTTTCACCTCAACTGTTTTAATTCCATCGCAATCTCACTTCAACCCTCTCCCAGATCATCTAAACTTCTAGATGATGGTCTGACTGCAATTTTGTCCCCTGTCGGGTCTATCATCAACATATTCTCCACAGGACAGTTAAAGTGACCTTGAAAAGTAAAAAGCACAGCTGAAACCATTCCCTATGCTCTATAGCTTCCCAAAGCTCACAAAAAAAGAAAAATCTTTAATCTGGCCTAAAATTTCTTGGATGTTATAACCTGTCTACTTTCCAGCTCCATTTCTTGCTACTTGCCTCTCGCACATACTGAATTACCTTTAGTTCTTCAAGCTCACCATGGATTTTTTGGTTTTTGCCTCTCAGACCTCTGAATTCGTCCCTCCCTCCGTTTATGTTGCTATGCCCCCTACCCTCCCATCTACCCTTCAGTCTACTAAAGGACCACTTCCCTCAAAAGCCCAAATAAGTTCCTGGGACTCCTGGCGTTTCTAGCATCACCGCGTTTAGTACGCTGTATCCTAAAACTGCGGGCTTTATGAGAAAATCCGCAGGATTTCTAATCCGGTTCTCAGTACCTAACGCAGAGCAGGAGCTAAGTGAATGAATGAACGCAAGAGCTGGAGGCCCGCGGGCATCTCAGGTGCCCCTCTCTGCCCATTGCCTCGGCCTTGGCCAGGCCTGGAGGACTAGATGGTCCTGCTCTCCTGGCCTGGCTCCCCTGCATCCCCGCACCTTCATGCGCAGCAGATTCTTGGACAACTTTGTCTTGCGCTCGGCCGCCATGCTGGCTTCCGCCGTGCTCCGCGCCCCGTCACGAACCCGGCCGCGCATGCGCACTGCTGCATACGCAGCGGCGTCTTCTTACGTAGCGCGCGTCTCCCTGCCCCGCGGTCCCGCCTATGTAGCTCGCGTTCGAGCGTGTCCCGGGGTCTTCGCGCGTAGCCTCAGGTAGTCCTTACCTCACCTTAAAACTCGGGGTAAGGGCGCGACTGCCTATGCAGGGGTGAAGAGTCTTAATGCCACAGGAAGACCCAAAAGAGGCCGAAGGCAGCGGAGGCCCGAGCTCTGGTCGCTGCGAGCTGTTGGCTGCTTTCCCCCGAGGGCTTCAGCCGGGCCCCTCAGGCTCTTCACCCGGCAGAGCGGCCTAGGGCCTGGCAATGGCGAGTGGCGCCCCGCCTCACGGACCCCGTCCTGTCTCGCGTCGCTGACTCAGTTGTCCTGGTGAGACTTTTGAGACAGTTGCCACACTACCCCGCCTGGACCGTTTCTTTCACGTTTCACAGGAAAGGCGATCTTTCTATAATCTGCATCGCTTTTAAAGTCATACTGTGGGAGGTGGGTATAAACCCAGGCAATCTGGTTTTAGAAATACAATGGAAAAGAATGTTAAATTCATCGATTAACTGTTGTGTGCGTCTTTGAACCTAAGTGATCTTTCTATTAAATGAAGAATAGCAAAAGATGGTCAAAGACATGAGAAAAAGAACACGACCTTATTTTAATCTAGTTAATTGAAAAGATGCTAGCTTCAATGCTCTGTACCACCTAAAGACATTTTTCACAGTATTCACAGGTGCCACACTTTGAAAACCCCCCAATGTAATAGCATTTCAGCTGATAGCGTGCACTATATGCCACATTCTTTTACTGGGTACCGTAAACGTATTAATTATTTAATTCTCATAAGAACTCTGGAGAAGGTGTTGTACGTAGTTAGGGAACCTGAGGCCCAGAGAGGTTAAGGAATTTGCCAGAGTTCACAGAGCTAGTAAGTGTTAGAGCTGAGATCCAGAAAGTTTCATAAAAATGTAGGCCTGCTGGGCAGGTTTTCCCCCTGGATTAAACAATGTTATAATTCAATAAGTGGTTATTAGAACTCATTCATTCATAACTCTGTAAAACATTGAGCTAATCTCTGGTTTGGAAAAACACACAATCTCCTTTTCTTGGAGCTGATGTTCTGGTGAGTCAAAAAATGATGATGTGATAGAATGACTTTTTGGGTTCCTTTAGTTAAGATGACCTGAGATGGTTCTTGACAAATGATTGTGCTAAGGCTTGAAAGTTGAGAAAAAACTGTTGTACAAACCCGGGCTCCCCTATTTCTAGGCCACAGCAAATACTGATGAAGCTTTGCTCACTGGAACTAGTGAGGAACCGGTCTGCATAGTGGAAGGTAAGCAGTGGGCCAGTGAGCAAAGCTTCATCAGTATTTGCAGCTGCTCCTCACTGCTAGCATCACCACTTTGGTTCCACCTTAGATTATTAGGCATAGATTCTCATAGCACTGATCCCTGGTACCAGAAAGGTTGGGGACCGCTGGTATAAACAGTTGGCGTTCTGAAAAGAGGGAGTAACAACTGTAAAGGTCCTAAAATGAGAACAAGAAAAGAGTCGTCATAGAGTTTACCAGGTGGCAACAATAGAGGTAATCCCGTCACGAGTTTGTGTCCCTCCAAAATGCATCTGAATTTTGTCTCAAAGTATGACTGTTTGGTAATAGGGCCTTTAAACAGGTGATAAGTTAAAATGAGGCCCTTAGAGTAGGTCCTAATTCAGTCTGACTGGTGTTCTTACAAGAAGAGGCAATTTGGACACACAGGAAGACACCAGGAATGCACATGCGCAAGAGGAAAGGTCCTGTGAGGACGCAGTGAGAAGGCAGCGGCTGGCCGTCTGAAATCCAAGAAGAGAGGCCTCTGGAGAAATCAAACCTGCCTACAACTTGATCTTGAACTTCTAGCCTCCAGAACTGTGAGAAAATAAAGTTTTGTTGTTTAAGCCACCCGGCCTGAACTATTATGTTGTGGAAGCCCTAACAAACTAATATACCACATAATTAGCTAAAGATTATAATTTTAGTAAGAGCTCTATAAGAAAAATGGGATTTATGAGAGGGTATAGTAAAAGCACCTAAACCATTCTGCCCTGGAAAAGGGAAGGACTCTGAAAGGCATGGCATGTAAGTTGATATCTGAAAGGGAAAGGCCTTCCAGTCATTCGGTTTTGTGCAACTGTCACACCCATGCATCCACAGAATACTTCACATCTTGTTAAATGGAAACTCTACCCATTTAAACAACAACTCCCCATTCCCTTCTCCAGCAAATACTATTCTACTTTTGTCTCTTTGAATTTGACTTCTGTTCAGGATTTTGAAGTTCTGTGGGATCAGACGTGAAGAAGTGACTTCCCTCTGCATCCAGGAAACAGCTAACTTTGAAGTAGATCTTGAAGGATGAGCACATGTCAATGTAAGAGGAAAATTCTTGACAGAAATAAGAGCATATGTACACTAGCTAGGGATGCTAGAAGCTCCATACCTTCCCTTTGGACCTCTTGTTAGCAGTGTACATGCACACTGGATTCTGATTTATTTTCCTGAAACGTCAACTTCATTATGTCACCTCTTGCTCCTAAATGTACAGTAACTTATTATCTGAGGGATAAAAGTCAAATTCTCAAGCTGCTACTCAAAATTCTACATTTTTGACAGTGAAAATACTTATAATTAAAACGAATCTTCAAAATCTTCACACCCATCAAAATGTAATAAATGAGAAGTGATTTAAGAGTATGTGATAATGTAATTTTAACTTTGAATTAAACTCCCACACAGAGAAGACAACTCTTTGATCTCTCCATGCTACTAAATTGTAGAATAGAGGCTAGGTCTTACAATAATGTGTTAACCTGTTTTAGTTACACAGCCAAGGAAACGTCATTTTGAGGAAGAGATATTTATTTCTATAGGTCTTCACACAATTCTGAATCCTTTCATAACTGAATTTGTTGGAAGTGTGGAAACTTCCAATTCTTTCAAAGTACTAGATCCATCAAGAAACTGTCCCCTGAGTCTCTTCACTCTTATGGTCAATTAAATGAAAAGCTATGCAGCCCAGTACAGTAGGCCTAGTCATATGTAGCTACCAAACACTTAGAATATGGCTACTATGACTGAAGAACTGAATATTTAATTAAAAACTAGCAGTATGAAATATGTTCCTGTATTACATATTTTATTGTTTGGAAGGACTATTTCATATTCTTTGAAAATTTAGCATTTGAATTGAGATGGGCTGTAAGTGTAAAGTACCACATTTCAAAGACTTGGAGTAAAAAAGTAGAATATCAATATTTTTTCATGTTGATTACGTTATAATAATAGTTTGGATATATTGGTTTAAATAAAACAGCATTAAAATTTATTTCATTGGTTTCTTTTTTTAATGTGGCTGCTAGAAAATTTAAAATTACATGTATCGCTTGGAGCTCTTTCCC